ATACATTTAAATAATGTATTACTTGATGGTTCGCTTCTATGCAGCACTAAGACGGTAGCTATCCGAACGGTTAAAGTTAGTGTGATTTCTTTAAGTTTCGATAGATAATCTAATTCGTCTTGGCCAGTAGTATCTAGTTTTGCACAAAACTTCAACATCAAAATGAATTGAGTGTCCTTGTTAGCACGCGTTTTCTGCTACTGCTGACAGTTGCATTTGGGAGAATTTAATATTTATCTGATGTTCTTTTAGTCTTGTGCTGATCATTCGTCCTGTTTGCCAAACATAACATTTACAACACGTGCAGTTAATCCTGTGCACAGCTTCGGCAATACATTTTTGTACCAGATATAAAATTCTGTATTTTATGTACCGCGCCAAATCTGACTCGGATGTTTTGTTTTTACAAACATCGGTCGAGTTTATCAGTTATCTGAGAAGTGAAATTAAACATGTTAAAGAAGCGCTGCAAATGAACGGTTACAATGGCTATTTGCGAAAAAGTAATAATACTGTACATCCCATGGCCAATCCACTGCTGCATGAAGGCCTCCCCAGCATGGGGGTTGTTTAACCACATGCCACCACGGGTGCTCGGTGCGGGTCGGTAAAGGCAGCGGGCAACAAGCCCTGACATCGCTCGCCATTGTATATTGTTGTGGCCATGGCCAGGATTGAACTCATGTGCGCCCGGGTCGTAGAGCAGTGTGGTGCCTAGCCATCTTTGCCACTGCTTCTACAATCTTTGGCTGTTTACTTAATTACCCACGTTCGTGAATAATGACTGATTCCATTCATAAAGTGCGCTCTTGCTACCGTTTGCACTTAGTCGTACAGTATACTCGGTATTAAACACGTGTCTATGTGTATGGTGAGCTTCTTTCACACCGTACGTAGCCAACTGCTAATCAGAGGCGCGGGGCAAGGACAACAAACTAAACAGAAACATCTGGTCTAAAGAAATTCGTTTTCAATTTATCTTTAAAAGTGTATAGCTGCAGTGGCTTCCTAATATAGGAATGAAGAGCGTTCCCAGACATCCGCAGAAGCTCGTCTAAAAGTTCCGCATGATACAGTGACCGTCTTTGTTCGATGGTTAGCCAAAACTGCTGCAAGGAGGACCGCATTTTTCGTCATCGTTTATGCTCCTTGACGAGATCAGCTAGGTTTTGTGGTACATTTGTGGCAAGCACCTTGTGTGTAATGAGTGCGACATTCTAGTGTGTTCGTTGGGCAACCGGAAGCCAATTCTGCTCAGCGAGCACTGGACGGACATGGCACAATCTTGCAAAGAATGTTGTACATGCTGCAAATTGGTAATGCATTTACCAGATGTCTCGTAGGTGATGGAATAGTGATCTATTCTCAACCCTGCAAGGTCACCCCTGTAATAGTGAAGGCATTACACTTGATCTGCAGTTGCACTGTGCCAGTAGATGTATAATTAACTATGCAATGGTTTTTCAATCCGTTTCTATAAAAATGCAGGATTTACCATGAAACAACTTTTATTGGATTTAAGGTACTAAGGTGTTGCTCTTGTGCAGTCTTCTGCAATAGGCATTGCGTCGAGATCAAGGCATGGCTCTCTCAATAGCTGTAGCGATGGAGTAATGATCTTCCACATTTTAGGTTTGTTAAATCTAATGACTGATAAACAAGTGTATAATTAAATGACCCCTGAGTGTTGAACAATCATTGAAAGTTGAACTGCAAAACTCTGGAGTGTTAATTAAATTAATGCAGTCCCACCATCATCCTGCACAGAAATCCTCTCATCAAGATACTCAGACATTGGGGTAAGAAAGTGTCAAATGGTGACAGTCGAGGAAGTGAAATTAACCATGTTAAAGAAGCTCTGCAATTGAACGGTTACAATGATACACAAATCAACAGGCTACTGAATGGCAAATCAAATCAAATAACATGCCCGTTGAATCTGACCAAGTAATTAAAACTATTCAAATACCGTACATTGCAGGAGTAATTGGTAAACTAGCCAGATGGTTGTAGAAAAAAAAAGCATCTGAATCATATTTGGCATAGTACATATAATACATAAATTCATATCTTGTACGAAATATGTATTACCGATGCTGTCAACAGAAGGTGTGTACCGGATTAATTGCACGTGTGGCAAATGCTATGTTGGACAAAAAGCACAAATGATCAGCACGAGAGTACAAGAACACCAAAAAAGTATTAAATTCTAGCGGGAAGTACCCGGCATTGCCCAGGCGAAAAAGGCAGTCACACACATGGACTTACACACAGACATCGACCCACACACATAGAAACACATCGACTTAGACGCACACACACACACATATGGTTAAACCCAGGGTGGATCGTTAGAAGGCCAGCCTAAATGTTTCCAACCGGCGAAGATGTTCCATTAGGTGGGTGCACGTTTCGCAAGCGTACAGAATGTAGAGGATTACCGTGGCCGAGAAGACCTGGAGCTTCATGCGGAGCGAGAGACCAGGTAGCTTCCACACAGTGTAGCGCAGCCGATGAAAAGATAATGGCGCTCAACTGATTTAGAGCGAGAGCTCTGGTGTTAAACTGGAGCTGGTCATGAGCACACTGGCCAGGTATGGGAATCTCTCCAATCTCTCCACAACTAGCGCATCAGAAATTGTGAGTTGTGGGGGTGTATTGTCCGATGGTACAAAATACCCAGCCAGGTGCTTAGATTTGATTTGGCTGATGGTAAGGCCCCACCTCTTAGTGCCAAGCTCCAGGTTCAGCAGCAGTGCCTCCAAGTCCTCCTCTGAGTGAGCAGGATTCACCAGAGCATCGGCATACATTACATGGTTGATCAATAGGGAGCCATCCCTTGACCGTACCCGGTTATCGATCAGCCTCCCATTGTATATGTACCATATGGTAATTCCTCCGGTACAGCCATTGAAGTCTTCACGAACTACGTGGTCAAAATATATGTTAAATAATGTGGGAGCCAGAGGACATCCCTGTTGCACCCCAAGGTGTAGAGGGAATGGCTCTGACTGACGGCCACGTAGTTTGACGCGGAACCGCTCACCGTCATGAAGGTCTTTAAAGATTGTGAGCAAAGGCTGAGGGACTCGGAAAGTATGAAGAACAACCCAGAGGCTAGGCCTACTGATGGTATCATAGGCCTTGACCAGGTCAATAAAGCACACACATTCACTCACATGCACACATGGACCTACAGACACGCAAAGAAATGGACTTACACGGACTCACATGGAGCCACGGACACAAAGTGACTAACACACATGTCCATGGACTGACACACACAGACATATCGACTCGCACACACAAACACATGGACTTGCACACACACACATATGGACTCACACACGCATAGACATCCACTTTAGATAGACACACATGGAGTTACGCACACATATATGGACGTAGACACATACAGCGACACACACACACATCAACTCACACACAGATATACGTGGACTCACAGACAGATTGACGTAAACACACATATGTACTTTGACACACACATATCAACTAAGACACACACACATGGACTTACACACACACACATAGACTGACACACATTGCCCTACACACACATATACATATGAACTGTGTCACACAGACATCTACTTTAGATACACACACATGGATTAACACACACACAGCGACTGATACACACACAAATGGACTGACACACACACTTGGACTGACACACAAACACTTGGACGTATACACACACATCGGCGTTATCCAATCGTAAAAGACAGACACACACATGGACTTAAACACACGCATGGACCTACACGCGCACACATATGGACTCAAACACACACACATCGACTCGCACACACACACACACATCGACGTGCACAGCAATCCCCGATGATGGCACAGCTCTCAGTATCGCAGTACTCCGTATGAGTAAATAGCGTGACATGAGCAATGGAAACAATGGAAATGCATTGAAGAAATAAGCAGAAAGCAGTGTAAATTAAAGAGCAGCAGTACGCACAGGTAAGTTGAGAAGCAGGCTACAGTTTAGATTATAGACTGCCAGTACGCCGACTCAATGACATAAGCATTGCTACAGTCGACATAAAAAGCTGCCAATACAGGCAGCAGCTGAAAAAGCAGAATACAGTGGACATGAAAGGCTGGGAGAACACTGAGTGGGGTAAAGAAGCAGGCAACAGATTATAGACTGGCATACACTCATAATGGTCAAAAGGAATATTATGAGTGTAGATAAGATAGTGGCAGTGCACTGACGTTAATTAATCAGCAGGCAGCAGAGCACATGACAGACTGGCAATGCTCCATCGCAGCATGATAAAAAACAGCAAAAAAGGGAATATTTATCAAGCTAATAATGAAAATTTTGTTTTGTGCACACAAACATCATTGTAATATCTGGCAACGTATTTGTTTCATAATAGTAAACAATGAACCCGAGTTCTTATCTGCACACAAACATAATTTTTGTAATTTGTGGCAACTTATAAGTTTCATAATAGTCAGCAATGAGCCAGAGTTCCTATGTGCACACAAAAATTATTATTGTAATATCTGGCAACGTATTTGTTTAATAATAGTAAACAATGAACCTGAGTTCTTAGCGTAAGAAGCAAGGAAATTTGTACTTACCATAGGCTTGGTCAGGCCTAGGCCGGTGCGGAGCACCCGTCCTGGCCTACATTGCCGAGGCAGGGGAGGTAACACGTTGGCAGGCTGGGCCACTACTCCCACACCCATCCCCCCGGGCGTGCAATAATAATGGTATTTAAGCACTATAATATTATCTATGGACTCCGTTGTAGAAACTGGGGTTCTCCCTCGCTGGGGTCGCCCTCCATGGTTTCAGTCGCCGGACATTGACTACCATCTCCCGGACCCTCTCTCCCCCTTGAATCAGTACCGTCCAGGGGGAGATCTGTCGCCCCACCATCCAGGGTCCCCGCCAGTAAGTGGTTAACGTCCCCACCTGTCCGGCCCCGACGCGAGGGGTGTGCAAGCCACACCTTAGAGCCCGCCGAGTAGAAGGGGGGTTCCATTCGGGGTCGGGCGCTCCACTCCTGCCGCTGGTGTGCGGTCTCGCCTTGCGGGCAGGCCCGGACCCTAGCTTCTCGTAGGGTCTCCATCAGGTGGTCCATGGGGCAGCTCCCTTCCTCCCGTTGCGGCGGAGGGACACCGAACAGCAGATCTGTAGGCAGGTGAGACTTTCGACCAAACATCATTAGTAACGGGGTCTGTCCCGTAGATGTGTGTACCATGGTGGCGTAGGCGAACAGAGCGTAGCGAAGATGTTCGTCCCAGTCCTGTTGATTCGCGGCCGCCATGCATTTAAGCTTCCCGGCTAGGGTCTGGTTCATCCTCTCTACCATCCCATTTGCCTGGGGGTGATACGCCGTAGTTCGGTCCTTCTGGATTCCGAACTCCCGGCACAGCGCATGGAATAGCTCTGCATCGATCTCACTACCTTGATCAGTAATGAGTCGCTCGGGGATCCCATGCTTAAGTGCGTAGTGTTCAACGAACGCTCGGGCCACTATGAGGGCTGTCTTTTCGGGGATGGCCACCGCTACAGGATAGCGTGTGAAGTACTCCACCGCTACGAGAACATACCGGTTGCCCCGGTGGAATCGCGGAATGGTCCCTGCAGGTCGATCCCAACTAGCTGGTTCGTTCGGCTGACGTGGAACGGTCTCAGGGGTACCTGATAGCGCGCCGGTTTCGGCCCGCATTGCTGACACGCGCGGCAGCCCTGCACCCAGGTGGCCACGTCTTGTGACAACTTGGGCCAGAGATACTGGTGACGCAGGGTTTCCCGAGTGCGATGCTCCCCGTCATGGCCCCCGAGCGGGTGGTCGTGTACCAGACTTAGCAGCTGTGGCCGCACCTGGGCGGGAACGCAGTTGCATCCCGGCTGGCCGGCTTCGGTTATTTCCCATACTACCCCGTTCTGCACGCACAACCAGGCATACAAACCACTCCAGGGTCCCGGTAGGACATCCTTCTTCTACCGTAGGGCCGTCTCCACCGCTGCCAGATCTGGATCCCGCAGCTGGGTCCGTCTCAGCTGCTCGTCGTCCAGGCCCGGGAAGGCGCAGCCGACGTCCTCCTGGATCCGATCGGGTGGGGTTGGGCGACACGTCGGGCCCCAGGGTGTGGGCTCCATGCCCGTCGAGTTGTCCACCGGGTCCCTGGTTCCCCCTGCCGGGGTCTCTGTTGCGCATACTGCACTGTCTCTCACGGGGGGGGGGGGGGGTAGACTCGGTGCGCTCCTGGGGGCCCACCACCTGCCGGCAATGGCCCCCCGTGAAGCACGGGCAGACTTCCTCCACCCTTGTCTCGGCGCACACCGCGGGGCGACTTGACAAGGCGTCCGCGATTGCGTGCGTACGCCAGGCTCGGTACTCTATTTGCAGGTTGTACTCCTGCAGCTGCGCCAGCCATCGGGCCATCTGCCCCCGCGGTTCCTTGAATGTAAGGAGAAACTGCAGGGCATAATGGTCGGTGCGCACCTGACATTTCCTGCCATACAAATACGATCGGAACTGTTTACACGTGAAGATCACGGCATACAGTTCTTGACGGGTCACGCAATAATTCAGCTCAGCCCCACTCAGGGTCCGCCTGGCGTATGCGATGATCCACTCCGTCCCACCCTGTACCTGTGACAGCACCACGCCCAGCCCACTGCTGCAGGCGTCAGTGCCCAAGATAAAATCCGTGGTGAAATTGGGGAAAGCTAGGGTGGGGGTGTGGGTGAGGTGGTCTTTGAGGGTGGTGAAGGCCGTTTTGCAGGCCTCCGTCCATCGATAGGGGTTCTTAGGGGAGGTGAGTTGGGTGAGGGGGCGTGCAGTCTCGCTGAATTCCTTTACAAATCGACGATAATAGGTGGCGAGTCCCAAGAATGACCTGATCTCCGTCAGATTCATGGGCCATGGACATTCCACTACGGCGCACACCTTTTCCGGATCAGTGCGCACCCCCGCCTTGCTGACTCGGTGTCCGAGGTACGCTACCTCGCACTGCGCAATGTAACACTTATGCGGCTTGAGCTTGAGATGGGCTGCTCGCAGTCGCTGGAACACCTTTCGCAACCTGGACCAGTGCTCGGACAGAGATCTACTGAACACTATCACGTCGTCCAGGTAAATCATGCACTGTTCCCACTGTAAGCCCCGCATTACCAACTCGATCAACCGCTGGAACGTGGCGCGCGCGTTAGTGAATCCGAACATAAGCACTCGAAACTCGAACAGCCCCATCAGGGTAGTAAATGCGGTTTTCGGCCGATCCTCCTCCGCCATCTCCACCTGCCAGTACCCGGACGCCAGATCGAGGGTGGAAAAATACCGAGCTCCTGCGAGACTGTCAAAGGTGTCGTCGATGCGCGGTATGGGGAATGCGTCGCCGAGGGTGACTGCGTTCAACTTTCGGTAATCAACGCAGAACCGAGTCGACTCGTCCTTTTTCATCACTAGCACCACCGGGGCAGACTAGGGGCTCGTCAAGGTCTGGATTACGTTATCATTTAGCATATCCGCGACTGCCTCCTTGATCTGGGTCCGTTCAGGCGCGCTCACCTGGTATGCGGGGAGTTTGATAGGTCGGGCTGCACCGGTGTAAATTGTGTGCTTAACAAAGTCTGTCCGACCTACATCCGAATCGTGATCACTGAACACGTCGGCGTACTCCTGCAACAACCCAGGCAGCTGATCGGCCTCCCCCTTAGGTAGGTCCGCCCAAGGCACATGTAACGCGTCATGCAAAGGGATGATCTCGGCTCGGGGAGTCGGGCCGACCCGCCAGGCCAGATCCTGGTTGTCCTCGGGCCGGCCAGGGTCTTCCGCCCAGAGTGCGAACACCGAAGTCGTTAGAGTGGCACGCGTGCAGGGGGTGTATGGTGGCTACTGTGGTGCGCCGTCGTAGCATCGCCGGGGTACTGTGTGGGTTAAACACCCGCATGAACAGTCGGCCCCATCTGCGTTTACCAGCGTGGCTGACCCGACGACTCCGTACCGCGCTGCCAACTCCGGGTGAGGAGTTAGCATTACTTCGCCCGAAGGTCGGTGTGTGGGGTCGGTGGAGGGTGTTGCAACTGGCACCAGCATCTCGGCGAGCGGCCCGATGGTGACGGCCGACACCAGCGTAGCGGCCACGGGTGTGAAGCGAGGGCGATTCGGCTCGGGTCCCAGGAACGGGATCCGCTCTCCGTTGCCCTCCACGGTGGCGCATCCCTAGCGGGGATGCACGTTGAGGCCCAGTTTCACCAGGAGGTCCGTACCTGCAATACACTCTTGGCACAATACACTCGAGATTTAGAATTCCTGTGTGCACACCTGGTTTCCGAGATGGACCTCGAGGGAAATCCTTCCCAGCAACTCCATCCCGGCTGCGCTCGCTGTGTGCAGCGCGCGATCTGGGGCCAGCAGGCGGCTCACGTCAACCCCGAGCACGCTGCAGCGCACGGCGCTCACGAGTGAGGCTACGGCTCTCGTGTCCAGTAGGATCCAGGTGCGCTGCCCGTTCACGTGTCCTTCCACCAGTGACGTGGCCCCCGTGATTCCCGCCACCAGCTCCCACAGCCAGTCGCCCGTGCTCACCATGTCCCTGGGTGTTGTGGTCGGAATCTGCGTGGGGTCACTCGCTCACCATTATTATTATCGTCGTTCTGCAAAGGGACCGTGTTGAATGCACCCCTAGGTGGTCCACTCTCTAGGGGGCGTTGGCGTTTAACCGTGGCGCGTTTCTGACGCGGGCGATCTGAGGACAGTCCCTTACGTGGTGCCCTTGACGGTCGCACAGGTAAAATGCTCGGGGAAGGGCGGCGGCCCCGTAGGAGCCTCCCCGCCCGCTCCCTATTTCCCCTCCCGAACGCCGCTGCCCAGACTCCGCCTCTTGTCGGGCTACCCTCCCGGCCAGCCCTCCCACCTCGGTCTGAACCGTCTCCACCGTAGTCTGCAGCGCAGTTATATGTGCCCGTACTTGGGTTACCTTGTTG